CCGCGAGTAAGGGCGGCGGGGCCGCTAGGTAGGGCGGCGGGGCCGCGCAATGGGGCGGCGAGGCCGCGAGGTAGGGCGGCGGGGCCGCTAGGTAGGGCGGCGGGGCCGCTAGGGCGGCTCGACGCGACCGTAAGGGCGGCACGACGGGCCGCTAGAAAAAAAAACGGGAGAGCGCGACTCGAGGCGCGCTTCGGTGGGCCCTAGGAACAGTCCCTAGGAGGGGACCTGCTCTGATTCCATGTGAGAATGAGAACGAGAGAATGGTGTGAACTATGAATGAAGCGAGTACAAATATGAAACCCTAGTTGGGTTGTACCCCCTATGGGATACCCCACTATAGCCTACACAATAGCATAAACTATAATGTTCTGACACCGCTCTTTATATACGAACGAGGTGGAAGCGTGAGATTCACACGATATGCATTCCCCAAGATGTAACCCAAAACCCAGGCTGTTATGAATGAACTTGCAGAGTGCGCAGAATATCGAATAACGAGAATGAACTGAGTACTGAATTACTGAATACAATGGAAGTGACGAGGCCTAAATAGGGGAAGTCCTAGCTAGGCGGAGAGGTTGGGCGAGGATGGCTCGGTGATGGTTTCGTTTGGTGCGGAGGCGACTCGGGAGTGGTTCGGTGCGACGAAATAGGAAGGACAGGTTCATCGCGTGACCCTCGGGATGGCCTCGCTAACGAGTGCCCCAGTAAGGATTCTGTAAATCCTTACACTCTCCCACCTTCTAAATAATGCAGTCCTGTACTGAAACAGGCCCTACACTAGCGAGGATTCCGTAGATCTCCTCTTCAGCTGAATCCGACAGCCGAAATGCCTTTGACAATAATTTTGAAAAGGTTGGAATGTAGGCCGTCGATGAAGTCCGATTTTGATCTGACGGTCGAAGATGAACTGGCCCAAAATGAAGTTGAAGTTGAAATGTGGGCCGTTGATGAAGCAGATGTGGATCTGACGGTCGAAGACTGACGCGAGATTGGAGGGAACATGCTGATGCGAATTCAAACGCGATTGAGCAGGGACCGTTGATCGTGTCGGTGTGATCGCGATCGTCCGTCGTGCTGACGCAACCTGATAAAGTCAGAAAGGACAGAGAAAAACGCCAAGGAAAGAACAGTGCAGCGCACTCTCTCCCCCCCTCCAAAAAAGCATACCAGAAAATGTTTCACAGCTGCGCCGAGATGAAAACCAACAAAAACCCGGGCGTTAAGTCCCACGAAGAAGAGTGTTGAGCGGAAAGTTGATGACGAAATCGGGTGTGACGTGCCCAAAAAGTCTTCAAGGGCGAACCCGCGTAAGTAGACCAGAAACCGCGTCGGAAATTATGCGTTGCTCGAACAGAACCTGCGTTGTCTTCACTCGCCAGAATCAGCCGATATCTTCAGCAGCTGTAGTTGGCAGCACCTGACGTGGTTGATATTGAATGCAGTTGTTGTGGGCGCGTCTAAGGCGAGTTGTCGGTAGCAGAGTTGGAATGGCTTCTCCGAGAAATTTGTCGTAATGCGCCGAGAGTTTGAGGGCAGGGATGAAACCTTACAGCTGTCGCTCCCCCCCGTCACTGTTGTTGCCGCCTTCTTCAGTTCGTCGTAAGTCGTTCGTACCCCTTGAAAACTCCGTGTAGTTCCCGCGGTGTTGCCCTGCGTAAATGTCGCGCGCGTTTAACCAAACGCCGAATACTCCTCCGAAATTGTTGCCGCTTCTCGCCGTGAAACCTGTGAAGTCCCGCGTAAACTCCGAAAATGTCGTTTGAACACAGCCCCGAAAATCCACAGATGCAGGTGCAGTTCTCCTCCGAAAATCTCGGTCGTTCTATAGCCGCCCACTCGGTCACCATCAGTTTCCGTCGGTTACCCGACCCCAGCATGTGGGTTCAATCGAGAACCGAGGACTGCCCTGGGCTATTCCGAGACCGAATTTCACGGAACCTAGAGGCATCAACGCCGTTGACTCCGGAGTCGAAACTGCTCCCGCCGATAGGTTTAACTGAAAACCACGCAAAACTCTCACTGGCGATTTGCAGATGTTTCACCCATCGCTCGTCGCCGGTAGGTAAATCCAAAAACTTCGGCTGCTCCCACGCTCCCTTTTTACTGAAGAATTTCCCGTGGTGTACGTTTCAACACCAGTGGGTTCTAGGTATCCCCGCCGCTGTGTTTCTTGCCAGGCGACTTAAAAGTGACCCTTCAGGCGAAGTCCCCCAACGGCTCAACCGCACTCCAAGAAGCGAAGAAACATCCTCAGCTTCAACTTTTTTTTTTTTTTTTTTGTAGGAAAAGTCACCCGAAAATCATGGTTGAGGCAGCAGTCCCGAAGTTATTCTCCGTCGTGTGGCCCCGACGTTTCCGCCGTTTTTTCCCTGGTACTCCGATGTTCACCCATCTTCATACCCGTCGGAACCACTTAGCGAATCCCAGGTATCATTGGCAATGTACCGCTCGCCGCGCCTCCATGTAACAATATCAAACCCTTTCGGGGGTCTACCAAATAGACTCCGAAATTCGCGGTGGATTGGTGCACGGGCTCAACCTCTCACTCAAGTGATCTGCTGGATCACCCACAACTTTCCCTCCGTCGTCATATTTTTTCGTATTCACCCCCCTCCAATTCCGCTTCCCGCCGTTCACCCAGCGTCCGCTTTTGTCGGATAAGGTATCGTCGCTGTTGTCCGCGCGAACTCGGCCACGTTGGAGAGGCAAAAACTATCGGAGTCGGGGCAGCCTTAGTTAAAAGGAAACTGTCGCCCAACCGTTTTGCAGCCCGCCGTGCCTATCACGCCACGAAATTTCCACAGCTTCCCGGTCTCAGCTTCGCCACTGCGCCGTCACCTCGTGTGTAGACGCCCGGGTCAGGAGAAACCTGTAAACTGCACCGATGTTATCCTCGCAGCTCCCCGACTTTTTCGCGTGCCGTTCACCCAGCCCGCTTTTGTCGGAGTAGAACAGTTTCGCGAACTCCACTTTTTTTTGTATTTTCTGTGCAACTGTCGAACGAGCACCAATCCAGGTGCCTTTAACCAGCACAGGGTAGGCACGTGTTCACCCCCGTTATTCGGCCAAGTAGGTTGACTGCATGAGTCAGAACCACGACTTGGTGGGGATGGTGAGGTTCGGGCGAAGTAGGGCCGCAGATCGATTCCACCGGCTTTTAATCTGCTCCCCACGACGTTCTTCAACCCTCGCTTAGCCGTTGGACCATTTCTGCCCGTGTGTCCCGGCAGCCTGTACCGACCCCTCCGAAATAGTCGGGCGGTACCTTGGACACCGTTTAATCGTGGGTTGTCAGCAGGTGTCCCCGAAAACGAATTCCCTGGTCAGGAGAAACCGCTCTCGATACTGCCGGCCAGCTTGCAACAACACCAGGCACGCAGTGTCGTACGAGTTGTTTCCGAGGTGTACCTGCCTCGATTTCCCTCGCCGCCTGCGTCCCACTTCTGCTAAGTGCGATATGGCCACTCCGCTTTTCGTTGCAGCCCGTAAGTGTCGCGAGTTTGAAGTCCCGTCTGTCCACGAGCACTTCTGTCGAAATATTCGATGACGCGCCCGCCATGCAGTAAAAGCCACTGCACTTCAGGTCGGGCGGGACGGCAGTTAACTCCCGCTAAGTCGGGCAGTCTAGTGTTTTCTCTCCTCGCCACCGACATTTTCGGACGCAAAACTCCATTTGCGCCTGGCGAGTTCCCCAGCCGACTTTTTCTCCACAGTAGCTCCGAAATTATCGCCACAGTGACGCTCGTCCCTTGTCGCCAGCTGCCGAGCCACACTCCGTGAGTCACGCGCGCAAAATGACGACGAGCCACCGTTGTCACTTGCCGCCTGGGACGACTCCGAAGTTGTCGCGCAACTGTTGACCCAGGTCTGACGGCGTCAACTGCCACACACGCTGACAACTTCCGCAAATTTCGTGCAGGTGCCGACGCAGGTCCGCTGACGCCAGCTGCCTCACAAAATTCCGAAATCGTCGTTAAAAACGCAGCGGAATAGAAACTCACGTTTAATGTCGCGACAGCTACAGCTGTCCGTTGCCCGGGGGGAGGGAGGCCACGGTCGATCGCGACCGTTCGAGGCAAGGATCTGGCGGTGCCGAAGGAGTGCCCGTAAAAACATCGCCGCGAGGAGCAACTAACTAGTTATCGTGGCCGGCCTACGCAACTCCTGGACCCCAAGGCATCCTTCCTCGTCCCCCCCCCCCCCCCGAGGGGTATTACACTCTAAAAAGCGGGGTGAGCTAGGAAAGTAGCTGTGATACCAGGTGTTATGAATGAACTTGCAGAGTGCGCAGAATATCGAATAACGAGAATGAACCGAGTACTGAATTACTGAATACAATGGAAGTGACGAGGCCTAAATAGGGGAAGTCCTAGCTAGGCGGAGAGGTTGGGCGAGGATGGCTCGGTGATGGTTTCGTTTGGTGCGGAGGCGACTCGGGAGTGGTTCGGTGCGACGAAATAGGAAGGACAGGTTCGTCGCGTGACCCTCGGGATGGCCTCGCTAACGAGTGCCCCAGTAAGGATTCTGTAAATCCTTACACAGGTTGGAAGACTACCGGCGATACACAGTTTGGTAGTTCTTAGTAGGATAATGCGTGGTCAAGTGTGGTAAATGTTCCAACCTGCTTGGTAGTACATTTCTCCACCAGATCATCGAGGGAAAATCGAAGACAGAATTCTGACACTTCAAGGGCGTATCTCCGATGCGGGATCATCATGTGGAAGTTGTGAAATGTTTTGTTTTTTTGAAAGATTTCGACCGGAAGTGCAGCCTCATGTCGTTTGGAATCACCGTCCTTCTGAAAAAGTTACAGGAAGGTGACACTGCAAGGAAAACTTGCCAATGCACGCACGCCCGTGGAACTCGTGTGGTCTCCAAGGCTCCTCGTTTCACAGATTGATTTCCTCGTTGAACCTCGTTCTTCTCAGTAAGCCATGGGCTGGCACACATATAGCCATCGATCAACTACCGCTCCACGCCGTCTAGTGCGTTCCCGAATGCCTACGCGTCGTAAATCCCATGCCATCCTGCTTCTTCGCTCCGCTTTCCTCCTACAACTCACTTTCTCCCTCGTCGCTTTCGCCGCGTCGCCTGCGACGTTTCCTCCCCAGCCTTCGCGACATCGTGCGACAGTTTCAGTCGCACGACCAGATGGACGGGATGGGGAGACCGAGGAAGGCGGGGAGAGCGGGGAAGGCGGGGAGGGTTGGGACGGGGAGACTGACTGGGACGAGGACCCATGGCGGAACCAGCGAGTTTCGCCGTCGCCCATGCTGCACGATCATGCGACATCCGTGCGACGAGCTTTGGCGGCAGGCGACCCTGGCGACTCGCAGAGCAGCGCAGACGGCATGTCCGCCGCGCTAGGCGCCGCAGGACGCGGCGGGTTGGGCCGCCATAGATCGCGGGAGGTCCGGCGCCTTGAGCAGCCAATCACACGCAGCCAGCTGGCGCTTCTCAGCCTGAATTTCTTCCCAGAAGTTTCCGGAGTAGATGTGATTACAGACGACGAAGGGGGAGACGAGGGAGGGAAGAAGCGGAGGGAGCAGGTGGCGTTGCCGAATTTGGAGTGTGAAGGCGCAATTTGCCCTGAATTTTCGGAATGCGGGCAGGGGATACAGGCGTGCTGGAACCTGGAATTCGTGGACGGGCTGATGAATAAAAACGGCGGAAGAATTAAGGTTCCAGGCAGAAACGATTCAGCAGCGAATCACGACGGTCCTACTCCAATAAAACCCCGTCTCAATGCGACAGGTGCCAATGCCAGTGTGAGTGCTGGTGACACATCAGCAGCTTCCGCTATCAGTAGCCCATCAGACCCCCAAGCTGCTGCCTTATCATTAGCAAGTAATGCCAGCTCATCAGCAGCAGCAATTCTTGCCCCATCAACAGCAAGCGCCACTAGCAGCAGTCCATCGATCTCCAAAGATGAATTCTTAGCTCATGCTGCCTCATCCGCAACAGCTGTTGCTACACCTTCAGCGTCTGAAACGCCAATGAGGAGGCGGTTGGTGGAGGAGCAGGGCAGAGGAGAAGGGTTTCTGAGGCACCTCCAAGATTCATCAACAGCAGCTGTTGCTACACCATCAGTGCCTGAAACGTCAACGAGGAGGCGTTTAGCGGGGGAGAAGAGCACAGGGGAAGGGCTGCAGGGATCAGGAGGATTGAGTGGTGCAGTGCGGTTGAAATGCCCTCCCATCAACTCACAGCAAATCACGCCAGGCATGGTGCTACTGCCCAACTGCTCCCTTGCCATAGCCTCTCCAGAGGACGGGCTAAAGGCATGGGAAGGGAGAAACGGCGAGGGGAAGCAAGGGCCAGGGGAGGAGGGAGAGGAGGAAGGGGACGGAGCAGAGGAGGAGGAAGTGGAGGAGGTAGGGGGTGAGGGAGAAGGGAAGGGGGTGCGGTATGGGGGGGGGAGGGGGTGGGCGGGGCGGGTGGTGGAGTTGAGGGGCGTGTGGGTGGACGGGCAGGGGCGGGTCTTCAACGCCTCTCACCTCTTCTGGCCTGGCGGGTGCGGCAGGAGGAGGGCGCTCAGTGAGGTGAGAAACGATTGAGTGCTGTTGAGTACAGTGAAGTGCGGTTTAGTGCGGTGAGACGAGGTAACTGGGAGATGGTGTGGCGGGCATGGGACAAGGGCGGGTCTTGAACTCCTCTCACCTCATCTGGCCAAGGGGATGCGACAGGTGCAAGGATCTCAGTGAGGTGAGAAGTGGTTTAGTGTGGTGAGATGCGGTTGAGTGTGGAATGGTCACCTAAGGGCTTCTGCTTACAAGAATGGGCGTTCATCTTCCATTTTGTTCCGTTTGGCATGTTTCAAAGTAATCTCTTCTGATTGCTTCTGTGCACGTTCATCCCAGTGGGTTTACCTTTGCACACATGCATGCATGTAGTGGGTTTCATTATTTTTGCTTTATTGAGCTTGATTCGTTATGATTATTGTCTCTGATGGCATACATTCACATCTCTTCAGTGTCGACTCAAAAAGAGGTCACTTCTGAGAGTTGCTTTTAAGAAGTTCCAAATGTGACTCAAAAGACTGACTGATGGCACACATTCAGGTGTGTTTTGAGTCGACTCAAAACACACCTCAAAAGACTGACTGATGGCGCACAGTCACTTTTCTCCTCCACCTTCCATCGTTTCCTTCACTTTTACATTGTGTGGATTTGCCCTTGCATTTGAATGATTGCATCCGAATGTTTGTATGCATGTGTGAATGCATGCGGCTGTGCATGCGATTGCATGTGCGATTGCATGCCATGCCAGCTCAGCCCTTCACATACCCGGCATCAACACCAGTCACCGTTCATCCCCTCGCCATCAACCTAGCCGCCCCTCCCTCAAAATCCAACACACTCACTTCCTCCTCCTCTTCTCCCCCACGGGCCTCATTCATCCACCACCTAGTGCATCACCTCCCTCTCTTCCTCCCCCTCTCCTCTCTCCTCCCTCAACTCATGGCTGAAGGGGCTCGATTCCTCGTGCAGGATCGCAAGGTGAGACAAGCATGCCTCGCAAGGTGAGACAAGCATGCCTCGCAAGGTGAGACAAGCATGCCTCGCAAGGTGAGACAAGCATGCCTCGCAAGGTGAGACAAGCATGCCTCGCAAGGTGAGACAAGCATGCCTCGCAAGGTGAGACAAGCATGCCTCGCAAGGTGAGACAAGCATGCCTCGCAAGGTGAGACAAGCATGCCTCGCAAGGTGAGACAAGCATGCCGCGCAAGGTGAGACAAGCATGCCTCGCAAGGTGAGACAAGCATGCCTCGCAAGGTGAGACAAGCATGCCTCGCAAGGTGAGACAAGCATGCCTCGCAAGGTGAGACAAGCATGCCTCGCAAGGTGAGACGAGCATGCCTCGCAAGGTGAGACAAGCATGCCTCGCAAGGTGAGACAAGCATGCCTCGCAAGGTGAGACAAGCATGCCTCGCATATCTCCTGCTATTCCCTCCTCTCTCCTCTGCTCTCCTCGTCCCCCGGCCCCCCAACCCTTACTCTTCCCCTGCTCGTATCTTCTCTCCTACGTTCTCCTCCCTTCCCCCCCAACCCTTACTCTTCCACCGCCTTGTGCATCCCACCTGCAAATGTGTAATATTTGCAGTGTGTGCAGTCATGGCATCCCATTATGAGGTGCCATGACACAGCCCATCATTCAGTGGCTGCATGTCATGGCACCACACTATATCAGAGTCCCGTCTCATCAAGTCACCATGTCACGGTTATTCAATCCCTCTCCTTGCCTCATTTCACTTGAGTTGAGATCTCTCTGCCTTCTCCGCATGTCCTTCCTTACTCCATCCATCCCTTTCCTTGCAGTGGTTGCACGTCATGGCACCACATTACATCGGAGCCCCACCTCATCAAGTCTCACTCCCTCCTTGCCTCCCTGTACCGTGCCTTGCCCATCCCTCCCTTGTCCTTCCTTGCCTTCCCTTCCCGTGCTGCAGTGGTTACACGTCGTGGCACCACACTACCTGGGAGATGACTTTTGAGTCGACTCAAAAGTCACCTCTGCCCACCCCACCAGTGGCTGCACGTCATGGCACCACACGACCTGGGAGCCCTGCCTCATTCACTCCCACCTCTTGCCTCACAGCCCTAGTTCACTTCAGATCTCTCTGCCTTCTCTATCCCCATCCCTTCTGCCTTCTCTATCCCCATCCTTCCCCTCCCTTCTCAGTGGTTACACGTCATGGCACCACACTACCTGGGAGCCCCACCGCATCAAGTCACCCTCTTTTCTTTCCATATTTCACTTCATATCTCCCTGACTCCTCTACTCCCATCCCTTCCCACCCCACCAGTGGCTGCACGTCATGGCACCACACTACCTGGGAGCCCCACCGCATCAAGTCACTCTGCTGCCCCAACCAGACAAGCCAACCCACCTGCTATTCGTGCAAAGGCTCATTCAGGTGCTAACCAATTCAGGTGATTTCTGGTGCGGGTGCCATTCATTCATTCAATCTCTGCTGATTTGGTTGGCACCGACATTCCTCACCACTTTCCCCAACACTTGTCTCTGAATTCTTGCTTTGCTCTTGCAGCAATGCCACCTGTCCCGCCCTGCTATCGCCCCTTTCCTCTCCTCCCCCCTCCTCTCTCCCTTCCTCACCAAACCCCCCACCAACCCCACCAGTCCTGCTTCTAGCACTGCACCCGTCTATATTGAAATCACTTATGAGAATTCTCAAAAGTGATTTCAGCACTGCACCCGTCCCTCCCCTGCGCCCCTCTCCTCTCCCCCTCTCCCCCACCCTTTCCCACCCTCCCCTTTCCCCCTCCCTTCTCCCCTAACCACACTCTACACACAGCCCTGTTTCCAACACAGCACCCGCCCCTCCCCCGCACTCCTCTCCTCCCTTCAAATCATCCTCTACCTACCCTTTCTCTCTCCCAAATTCTCCCCGTTCCCTCTCCCACCAGCCCTGCTTCCAGCACTGCAACCGCCCCTCCCCCTCGCTCCTCTCCTCTCTTCGAAACATGCCCCCTCTCCCGTTTCCCTCTCTTCCGCCCCCCGATTCCCCTCCCACTTCCCCCTCCCATCCCAACCCCCCCCCAGCCTTGCTTCCAGCACTGCAACCGCCCCTCCCCTGCTCTCCTCTCCTCTCTTCGCTCACATCACCTCCTCCCTCCTGAAGGCCTTCCCCTCTTCCATGCCAACTGGACGCTCCGCCGCCCGCCACCTGTCCCTCTCCCGCCACCTGGCGGGACCGTCTCCACTGATGTGGAGGCTGACGTTTCAGCTGACATGGCAAATGGTCCGGGAGGGGCGACTGTTGACGCAGATGGGGACGGATTCGCGGGGGTGAGGGGGATGGTTGGGGAGGACTGGGTGGTGGTGGTGGCGGTGCCACCTGGCGCGATGCTATTGGATAAGATGGAGGAGATGGTCGATGGCGTAATCCAAGATAACTGGTGGAACGGCCGGGTGGTTTACTTCCGAGGAACCATGGGCGTGCAGGAAGGTGAGACGGTGAGATGGGTTTGAAGGGAGGTGAGCGAGGAAGTGAGTAAGTAATGGGGGGGTGAGGGATGAGGGTGGGAGGGCTGGGATGGGGTATGGTTTTGAGGCGCCTCAAAACTAGGTTCGGTTTAGTGCGGATGAGGAGGTGATGAGACGGCAAGCAAGCAATGCTTGTTTGGAGAGAGGGAATGTGAGTAAGGGGGAAATCAAACTAGTACTCGATTTTTTTTTTTTCCTTGGGGGGGAGGGGGGAGGGGGGGGGGGGCGGGCGGGGAGGGGGGGAGGTGTTCAAGAGCACATGCACCTGTCCAAAACCCTCCCTTTCCCCCCGCCCCTACCTCCCCCCTCCCCGCCCAACAGCCAGGGCTCTCTTCTCTCACGCTCTCCTCCTCATCGCGCCACCAGGGGAGGCTCTGGACTTCATTCTCTTCATGCCGCCTGCTGCTGTCGTGCTCGAGATTCAACCCTCCTCCCATCCCTCCTCCTCCCACCGTGCTCTCTCTCACTCCCTCTCCCTTCGCCACCACACTCTCTTCTGCAAGCTACTCAACGTTTCCGGGCAGCCCAAAAAGCTTTCATGTGACCGGCTCGTGCTCGCACAAGTCATGCAAGCCCTCTCGACGGAAGTGTTTTTCAGCCTGGCGCTGCCCAGAGGCAGCCGGGCAGCGCGAGCTGCCCTTGGGAAAGCATCCATACCCGGTTCCTTGATCCACGGGCAGGGGCAGGTTAAAAAATGGAAGGAATGGTCAGCATGTGTTGCCCAGAAAGGAAAGTGGGTCCTCAACTCAAAACCCCGAACCCTCCCGTGGGATTACCGGGGGGTGAGCAATTATTGCGATAACAGACACTTAAGTCTAAATTCAACCCACATGGCATACGCTAGTGCAGATGCATATGCCATGAAGCCAGGGGCGAGTGAGGCGGGGTGGACGGTGCGCGAGGGGGTGAAGTACGAGTGGGTGGTTGGGCCCTCCACATGCCCGTCGCCTCACGTGCCCGAGGAGATTAAAGCCTTTGAACTAACGGCTAAGGCACGACTCAAAGATGCTCAGGAGAAGGAGCGAGTTTTGCGATCCCAGTTGGAGAAGAATGGAACGGGGGATGCAGCAGCAGCAGAGAAAACGGCAGCAGCAGCTGCAGCGGCTGTGGAAGCAGCAAAAGCAGCAACGGCGGCGGCGGCTGCAGCAGCAGTAAATCTGTCAAACCCCTGGCTGCCGTTCAACGCGTCAGTCTTCTGCGAGAGGGTGGGGCGGGGCCGGCGAATCCTCTTCCTGGGAGACTCAAAGCAGTACCAGATGGTGCAGGTGTTTGTCAACCACATGGCGTGGGGGTGGAAGGGAAAGAGGAAGCCTGCAAAAGAGTTGGTGAATCTGGAGGAGCGGCCAAAGGCGTGTGTGGATGCGCTGGGAGGGAATGCAGCTAAAATGGGGCATGAGTTCTGCCAATGGTGAGTCACCTTATAGCGAGTCAAAGGTGAGTTTTATGCCAAGCCTCCTGGGGGATTCCAAGCCAAGCAGTACCGATGGTGCAGGCATTTGTTACCGCATGGCGTGGGGGTTGCAAAATACTGACTGCTTTGCATATTTGCTCAACCACTGTTTCATCAATTCCTTCCGCACCCTCCCTCACCCACACCCCTCCTGTTTCCAGGTTCACTTTCAACTCCTCGGTATGCCCGGGCTTTAAGGTTGACTTTGTTCGCAACGACCATTTATCGCTGTTCGATCCAAAGGGAGCTGTATTCGACCACATGCCATGGGGCCAGCCTGGTGTAGCAGATATCCCCTCTGCAGACGTCATCGTTTTAAACAGAGGCCCCCACTGGACCCCTACACCTCTTTTCATTTCCGGCGTACGAAACGCTCTGCGGTTTATTCGGCATAATTTTCCGGATAAGCTGATTATTTACAGGAACACCCCTCCTGGGCACAAGGATTGCGGAGATTACGAAAGGCCGTTGGAAAAGCGGCAAGAGTTGGGGAGTCTGCCGTTTAACTGGGGTGAATTCCCCAAGCAAAACCTAGTGGCTAAAGAGTTGGTGGAGCAGGTTGGAGGGGTGTATTTGGATGTGGAGGAGATGGTGGGGCTGAGAGCTGATGGGCACAACGCCTTCATGCCAAACAGGAATAAAACTGACTGCTTACATTACTGTTTCCCTGGCCCCTTAGATGTTTATGTACAGTTTCTGTACAATGCACTCATACGGCTACTGCCACCACCACTACCTTCCTGAGTCCCCACCCACACCCTACAGCATCCCATCCCATCCCATCCCACCCACCCATGCGACACCAGTGAAGCCATCACTTGACTCTTTGATCATGAATTGTTTCGGTAATGAAAAGCATCACCATGTCACGAGATAGAGCCATTGTTTCAGAATCTAGTGCCGATGCTCTTGTGCTTGTACTGATAGCTGCCTTGCCTTCCTCCGTGCTCGAATATGGAGAAAGAGCACAATCTGCTCCTCCCATGTCCCTGCCCATTGCTGCCGGTGACATGGTGTGCTGCTGCCGGCAGTAACGGGGCGACGAGTGCCGTTGCCGGCAATGACGGGGCGAGGCGAAACGTAGGTGCTTTTCAGTGGGATGGGAAGACACGGTACGGTTTGCGCAACGTTGTTTGGCAGTGCAACACACAATATGGCAATCTCTCTCTCATCATCCACAATGCTATGTGAACTGTCCCAGATGTCGTGTGGGTGTGACATTTGGCAGGAAGAAGCGCAACCTTGCAAGGACAATTTCAACAACAAGCATGAGAAGCGACACAATGGTGAGCTAAACCCTGGCACAAATGTATAATGAGGATGATGAATTAGCTAGTGCAGGTGTTAGTATGGTCAAAGAACAAGCACCTATAGCTACCAGCAGACCATTGCAAGTGAACAATCTGAATTTGGTAATAGGAAAGTAAAACGACTACATAACAACGTTACAATCTTTTAACTGTTTGTGCCAACCTGGTGACTTGTAACAGGAGGTATAGTCTTGACCGCCGTGTCCGACGCGACACAGTAAAGAAGCTGCAAACGGGCCGCACACTACTCAATAATTTTCACTTTCTGACGCCGGTAGCGCCCGGTAGCGCTCGGTAGCGCTACCAAGCGCTACCGACTGAGTCAGCAAGCTGACCGCGGGCAAAACAAATAAACCCCATACGGACTGCATGCCATTCGGGAGCCTCAACCCTAAAATTCTAGGGTTGAGGCTCCCTCGGATGGCATGCCATCCGGATGGGTTTTAGTTTTTTTCTTGCCCGCGGTCAGCTTGCTGACTCGATTGCACTGCCTGCTTGCAGGCAGTGCAATATATTCCCCAACACACACCGCAAATCGTTTTTGTGACCACATTCGTTTGTGATGTGGGCGAACTGACCTGCGCGCGGGCGAGCTTCTCCGCGCACTCGTTTTAGGGTTTGTCGCAGCGCAGGGCGTTTTGGTTTGCAGCTTGGTGTGCTGTACCACGGTTTTGTTTGTTTCTGATTGGTTTTTCCTCCCAACCAATCGCACATCCCAGTCTCGTTCTCAGGGCGTTTTCCTTGTATTTTGTTTTGTGCTTTTCGTCCCTGCCCTTTTTGTTTCCTTCTGTTGACACATCCAGGTCTTAGCTATTTCATAGTTGCACTTGTTGATTGGGGCAGACATTTCAGATGGCCCCCACGTTCCATTTCCCCTAGCGAAAGTTTGGTACACTTGATTTTTTCAGCTCAGAATAGCACTCTCGATATTTCGGGTGGGTGCGAAATGTTCTTCCAATCTCACCCCCACCCACCCACCTCTCGTGTTCTGTTTTTTCCGTGGACAGCGCAAGGGGACCTTTGTTTGTTCACCTCACCTCAACCTCACCTCCTCGCCTTCCTAAGAATCTAATCAACCCCGTCGCCTACTACTATTGTTCCCCGCCCTCGCCTACTACTCCCACGACCAGCGCCACTACCGTATGTCACTCCTTTAGTTAGATCGCTCCACTCACCTCACCACTCACTCCTTAGATCGCTTGCAACCCGTCTGGCCACCATGTTCCCCGCCATCACCTACCTCTCCCACGACCAGCGCCACTCATTGCTTAGATCGTTTCTACCTCGCCTTCCTTTGAATCCAATCAACCCCGTTGCCTTGTACCATGTTCCGCGCTGCAGGCATGGCGAAATACTGATTCCTTAGATCGCTTTTACCTAGTATGGCGACCATGTTCCACGTGGCGCCCCAAACAGCCGCGGATTCATTTCTTAACATTGATTTCTTAACAGGTTCGTAGGCATTACTTTCTTACCAGCTGCAGGCATGGCGGAATGCCGATTCCGCGCTGCAGGCATGGCGGAATGCCGATTCCGCGCTGCAGGCATGGCGGAATGTTGATTCCGCGCTGCAGACACGGCGGAATGTTGATTCCGCGCTGCAGGCATGGCGGAATGCCGATTCCGCGCTGCAGGCATGGCGGAATGCCGATTCCGCGCTGCAGGCATGGCGGAATGCCGATTCCGCGCTGCAGGCATGGCGGAATGTCGATTCCGCGCTGGAGGCATGGCGGAATGTTGATTTCGCGCTGCAGGCATGGCGGAATGTTGATTTCGCGCTGCAGGCATGGCGGAATGTTGATTTCGCGCTGCAGGCATGGCGGAATGCCGATTCCGCGCTGCATGCATGGCGGAATGTTGATTCCGCGCTGCAGGCATGGCGGAATGCGGATTTCTGATGTTTTCCACTGTTTTTTGCTGTTTCCCACTGTTTTCCGCTATTTTCCACCGTTTCCCACTGTTTACTGCAGTTTCCCGCTGACGTGGCATGGGCGCCGCCAGCAGTGACGTGGCACGGCGTTGCCGGCGGCATGTGACGTGGCGTGGCTCTGATGGGAGTGACGCGACCTGGCGTGACGTGGCATGTGACATGGCGTGGCGCTGCCGGTGACGTGGCTTGGCGATGACGTGGCAGCGACATGGCGTGGCATTGCCAATGACGTGGCATTGCCAATGAACAAACAAGGGCAATCCATGTAAGAATGAAGGTGGAAACAAGAAAGCTCTGTAATAACTTTTTCCACTGTTTCCCCATCCCCCACTGCTCACTGCACTGTTTCCCCATGCCCCACGTCCTCTCCCCCCGCTCCGCTTCTCCCCCCTCGTTTCCCTCACCTTCCCCGCCCCATCCCCCACTCTGACCTCCCCCGTCTCCCCTTGTACCACCGCCAGGTCCGCGTTTCCTGGAAGGTGCTGGGAGTGACGTGGCGTGTGCTGCCGGTGACTTGGCGTCGCTGCTGGTGACGTGACGAGGCGCTGCCGGTGACTTGGCAGGGAGGAGGGGAGGGGTTTGGGGGAGGGGGGAGGCTAAGGGGGGGTTTGGGGCAAGCCGTGGTGTGTGGGGAGGGCAGCTCAGGGACCTCCTCACCCGCTCACTCACTCACTCACTCACAGGTGCGTCTCTTGTCGCACCCTATACCCCGATGAGATGTGTGCCCTGCTCTGCTCCTCGTCTCGTCCCCCACTTGCATTCCGAGCAAGGCAACGGAAGCAGAAACAGAAACGGGAAAAGACGGGAACAGAGGCAGAAAACAGAGAAGAGAAAGCAGATGCAGAATTTGAAACAGGAAGGAAAAAGCAGGGGCACGAAGCAAGAAGCAGATTATGGAAGCAAAAAGAAACAGAAACTGGAAGCAAGGAGACATGAACCTCTCGCACGTTGCTGTGCGGCCATGCCAGACCCAGGGGTGTGGTGTGAGGAGGGCGGTTCGAGGGGCTGTAGGGGGTTGTGTTAGAATGAGAGGAGTGATTGCACTATGAGAGTTGGAGTACAAATGGCCAACCCTAACTTTGTGTACCCCCTAAAGGCTAACCCACTATAGCCTACACAATAACAACACATATAATGTTTGACACACCCCCATAGGCAAAGTGGGGGAGAACAAGGGGTCACAAGACCAGTCAAGAAAGGCAAGCAAGCTCAGGGTGGATCACAACGTCACCACACAATCCGAGCACAAGCAAACGGCCACAAGGCCAGTTCACATGCAGAGGTATATATATAAATAGTACAGACAACAAAGGTGATCTCAACCTAGCAGAGCAAACAGGCAAAAGTATATATAGAGATCACAGTACAGGCAAAGCCTACAACAAGTGAGACAAAGTGGGCACTAGCCCCAACAAAATACAGAAACGCTGATGATCACCAGGCTGAAGTGCCTTGGTGAAAACATCAGCGGTGTTGGCCTGAGAGGCCACGTAGCGCAGACGAAGCTGACCACGCTGCTGAAGCTCACGAGCAAGGAAGTAACGGAGAGCGATGTGCGTTGTTCTGTGCTCTAGTCTGTGCTCCTAACACAAGGCAATGGCAGCCTTGTTGTCGACGTACAGCACTGGAGGAGAACTAGGCCGCTCTCCAAGGTCAGTCAGCAGGTAGGTGAGCCAGCGTAACTCCTGTGCAGCCATGGCTGTGGCGTAGATCTCAGCCTCA